GGTGATGGTGAAGCCGCCGCCGATGTTGAAGCTGGCCAGCAGGATGCCCAGCTCGCCGCACACAGACGACGGGCACGCCACACACTGCACACACACACACACACACACACACATCCATCCATCCATCCACAGGCACACAAACACATCGAATGCATGTGTGTGTCTGGTTTGCAGCTTAATGACTTACTCGATCGAGTTGTATCATGCTGCCGACGATGACGATGCCGCTGATGGCGTTGGTCACACTCATCAGTGGCGTGTGCAGAGCCGGCGTCACGCTGATTTATTGATGCATGACCAACACACACACACACACAAACACGACTGAGTGAATGGATGTGTCCCTCCCTCCCTTCCTCCCTCCCTGGCTGGCTTACCTCCAGACACAGAAGAATCCGACGATGATTGCGAGTGTGAAGGAGAGCATGTGGCGCAGCTCCAACACGTCCATGACGAAACCCAGCAGAAAGAACAACACCGCACCCACCGACACCAACAACTGCACACCCATCACACACACACACACACACACAGCAGCCCACACACAGCAGCCCACACACACACGCATCCATCCATCCATCCATGTGACATACATACCGCGAAGACGATTTCGTTGGCCAGCAAACGCTTCAACACACTCTCAATCGCTGATCGCAGCCACACCACACCATTAATTATGTGTATGTCATCCATCGCTGTCTGTGTGTCTGTCTGTGTGCTTTAGACATGCGTCTGCTCACTGACTTGTGGCGGTGGGGTGCTCGGGGGCCGGCTCGGCGGGCACCTCGACGGCTACCTCGACGCCCTCGTAGATGGCTGTGGGAGAGGGCGGCTGCTCGGCCGTGTACACGACGGCCCCCTCATGCGTGACAAGCATGGCACGGACGTCGGCATCCGCCTGCACACTGAAGCCCTCAGCGCCACCCGCACTCTGACCCATAGATATATCGACACACACACACTCATGTCTGTCTGTCTGTCTGTGTGTGTTTGTCGTGTCGGGTGGCTGCAGCCCGCTGCTTGCCTTGAGGAGGTTGGCGACGCATGACGAGTACAGGAGGGAGGCCTGGCCGGGCATGCGGTCGGACGGCGAGCTGAGGCCCACAACCTTGACACGAGATGCACCGTCAACCACCAACTCATCTGCACACACAGGCAGACACACACAGACAGACAGACAGACATCGCTCTTGGTGGCTGGTTGGCCTCTCTTGGTCGGCTGGGCCGTGTGAGTGTGACCGACTTACCGTTTCTGGCGAGTTCGCAGTTGCTGCGGGGGAAG